CACCTCACCCTATTGAGGTTTATCCCCACCTCACCCTATAGAGGTTTATCCCCACCTCACCCTATAGAGGTTTATTCACACCTCACCCTATAGAGGTTTATTCACACCTCACCCTATAGAGGTTTATCCCCACCTCACCCTAATCCTATTGAGGTTTATCCCACCTCACCCTATTGAGGTTGATCCCCACCTCACCCTATTGAGGTTTATCCACACCTCACCCTATTGAGGTTTATCCCCACCTCACCCTAATCCTATTGAGGTTTATCCCACCTCACCCTATTGAGATTGATCCCCACCCCTCTCACCTTCCACCAAAGTCCATCGCTTGTCTTTCCGTTAGACCTCGGTCATAATTTAAAAGTAGAGTGCAACCATATATCTGTGAAATAGTAATAGTTAAATAAAATAAGTAGAGTGACCACTGTCAGTAAATCTGTGAAACTTTAGTAATACTAAATAGCACAATTTCATGCAAATTCCATTGTTTTCTATTGTTTAATTAGCACTATTTTGTACTATTTAGTAATTAGTGTTTCACGGATTAATTGTTTGCGCTCTATGTCTTTACTGCTATTGAGTTGTGCTATTTAATTGTTATAAAAAGGTTTGCTCTCTTATGTAAAATAACAAAAAATACTTTGTAATCATTATGTAACGCAATGAAAGTTCATTTTAATGTGTCCAATTGACCTATAACATTATGACGTCACAGCTTGTTTACACAGGCAAGAATAATAGGAATTTAGGCGAAATTTTCTTTCATTCGGGATATTTAGTACAACATTTATCTGTCATCACCTTTCCCCATCTAATTAACTATTTTTTATTGTGATTTAATTCGTTTTGCTGCTATTTTGCCTCCTCTGGCGACCATGATCCTTAGCGTTAAAATAATAGATTGTTTTGATGTGACGTCATAGTGTTATAGGGCATTTATAATTCAATCTTTACTTTAAAAAAATTCATTTTGTCCTTTTTCAGTTCAATACGTAGAGAAATTTTACTTCAAGAAATATCTCTCAGCCAAAGGAAGGCTTTTGTGAGTCATGTGTTACTGCCATTTTAGCATGAAGGAAAATATAACATGAATACCAAAACAGCCCAGACAAATTAATTGAAGTCAAATCACTCTCCTTTTGGTTAATTACAACTGGGTTGAACTTTATTTCTCAAGTGTGTTGTGTTGATGTAGTGTTATATTGATCACTCGTTTGAAGCATGCTCTCAAAGAATGACTAAATAACCCTATAGCTGTAGGCTAAGATGCTATCCCATTTTCACAATTTTTTGGACTTGGAAGATTAATTCTATTAGATAATTTGAAACATTAAAGTTATAATCAATGAAATCCTTCAGCAACAATACATTATAAAAATAATTCAGTGGTTTGAAATCACCAATAATTTATTTCCATTCTTGTTTATATGAGTATTCAAACAAAAACAAAATGAAACGACGCAACAGACAACACAAAGAAACTAAAACAAAAACACAAAGAAACAAACAAAAAATAAATACAAACAAAAATAAAACACAAACAATGAAAAACAAAAACAAAGAATCAAATAAATACAAGGAAAAACAAAGGAAAATAAATACAAGGAAAAAAAAATCAACACAAACAAGTAAATATACAAACACAAACAAACAGAAATACCAAAATGACAAGCAATTAAAGACAAACAACAACACAAAGAAAAGAAAAACAATTAAATAATTAAAATCTAACTACAAAAAAGTGGGGAAAGCATAAACCAAAAACTAAAAAAACTAACCTTGTTACATCACAGGTCAAATGCGAAGAACGTGACATCAAGCAACACCACATGGACAAGATCAACACTTTGACCAAGCAGCTACACCCAGCCAATTGAAGAAACTAAATTCTTTCTCATGTAAATCAGATCAAACCAGATTCTGAGTCCCAATAGCAATGGTTCTGGGAAACAAAACAATGGATTTTTTTTTTGCATAAGAAAAGACAGCCTACTGTTTTGTCCCCCAAAACAATTCCTCTAGGAAAGCCTTCTAGGGTTTTTTTTTTCAGAGAGAGTGAGCATATTAGAGGCTGACAGCGTAATAAATTTTGCTGATTTTTGGGGAGGGGCCGGTCTGAAAAACATTCCACGGTGAGGGAAAGAGGAGTATGGATAATTTCTGGAACTACACAATCCCACAATTTCATTCCATCATTTTATATTATTAAAGCAGACTTACCCAGAATCGTCACATTGTGCTGCATAAACTAAGAAAAGAAGAAAGGACAATTTAGAACCTGGAAAAGAAAGTTTATTTTATTTTATATAATAGATTTTCATGAACGCATGCTCTGATTAGCTGAAAAGCTATGTTTTATCAGAGTATAGAAACATAGAGATGACGTCAAAACCATGTTTTCTATACAAAATTAAACATAGAAATGACCTCACAGGAATTCGGTTTTTCAATTTAAAGCATTTTGACATTTTAAATATGTCTTTCCTCTAAAAAAGGAAAATACGTCGTTTTGAAGCACATTTGATTGGTACTACATTTCGACAAGTAAAGCTTTCTTTCGTTTGTGCTGCGACTATTACCATGACCTTATTTCGCTAAACTAGAAGCTTTTTGCTTGACCGTGACGGCGTTAGAGAAGTCAAAAAATAATTTTAAACCTTTTTCATAGTCTAAAAAGAATGAACAAATCTATTGTATTGTCACTTTTTTACGCTTAGTTACAGTAATTTTGTTTTACCGTAATTTGTTTTCCAATAGTCCAAAACTACGAGTACAAAATACTACTACAAGTGAGCAGAAAGTTTTCACATATAGTTAAGGGTCAACTAAAAAACCAGTTTTCCAAGTATACTGCACTGCTAGCTTTCTTCCAGTTTCAAAGATCAAGGTCTTTTTTAGTCTCTCGGCTCCTTGTGCATTCAAAGTGTTCAAGCTGGTTTTCTTGAGTGTTTGTACAGGTAAATGTCCATTAAACGATCTGAACTTTGAAAACGTTTTTCAAACTCTTTAGTATTTGAATTTCTTCTAGCAGTTAAATGCTTGTTTTCTTTGGCTTTTTTGCTAAAATGAACGCCTACACTCGTGATTTCTATAACTTTTTTCCTGTCCTACAGCTCCAGTCGTGTTTTATCAGAGAACAGAACATAGCTAAGCTTGATTTGTTAAACAATAAACTCAACAAAATTAATCGATTCTGGTTGGACAAGAGGAGTACAATTAAATCGCAAATTGTACTCTGTAGAGTCCCAATTATAAAGTTGCTCAATTTTGTTGACTGTATTAAATAAACAAAAAATCGCACAATGTACATTCGGAATTTATAGATACTTGTGATGTTTTGAAAGCTCTTATATTAAAACTTTTTACATGTATGTGCATGTATGCATAAAGTATAGATTTTATTATAGTGTAATTCATTATTAATAGCAGTAGTATAGTAGAAGTAGTAGTAGAGGGTGTGCTGAAAACCTAATGGCCCTATCTATGGCCTACCTTTGTTTCCCTTAATTTCATCGAAATATCTTTTTCTCAGTATTCATTTCCAGAAGCCCTCTAAATGAATCTTAGCCGACAATATGGCAGGCCGGCGCTTTTCTTAGGACCACAGGAAGCCCAAAATTCTATTACAACTATGCATATTTTAGCAGGACCCATTCTTGACTGTTTGTGATTTATTTTATTATGTATAAACGTATTTATGGATTTCATGTTAAAAATAGAGTGTTTGGGTTGTGTGGATGATGCATCTCCGTAAAATGTTAAAAGAAGTAATTTGATAGAAAAGTAGTGTTGTATCTGATATTTCTAAACCTCCCCTTTAGCACCAAGCAAACTATCAGACACTCAATTTTTACTTTCAAAATGCAGCCATAAACAGTTTGACCTGAGAACCTAACATATGAAAAACATATCACCCTACTTTAATTGCAGTTTAACCCAAAAGAGAAGTGAAAACAATGAAATATAAACATATGAACTAACCTCTTGCTGACTCCCTCGTGCTCAAAAGTCAAGAAACTAATCTGCTGACTTATCAAAACAACTGGCTCAAATAAATGCACAGGAAGCCCAATATTAGTTACAATAGAAGTTTGTGCTATTGCCGTGCTAAC